GCAATACCTAGAAGCAGAATCTTTGATGTGGTGAAAAAATGTGAAATTGTTCACTACAGATTAGTAAGTAAGCATGAGTAAGCCAGTGCTTACCTTGCTTATTGGATAATCTGCCCCTGAGTGAGAGGCAGAATGGGGATGATAGTGGAATGAGAAGTGGGGTGGGAGGGGGAGAAGTAAATTGGGAGGGGTTAGTTGTCTGAGGGAGGGGCAGTGGGAAGTAGAGAGTGGAGTGATGTTTTCAGATGGGAGGGAGAAGGACCTGGGGTGAGATATGGGAAAGGGGAATGGGAGGGATATGGGGCATGGGATAAAGATTGGAAAGGATGAGGGGAAAGGGGTAAGAGCGGTGTGTGGGTGAAAACTGAAGAGGTGGAGAATTGGAGAGTGGGGGAGTGGAGTGTGTGGTGAGAAAGGGAGGGAGTGTGGAAAGTAGGGTGAGAGTTTGGGGTAGGAGGAGGTTTGGGTGTGGGTTGGGCAAGGTGTAGTACCAGATCTAGGATAAGAGTTGAGTGGGGGTGGAGGTAGTTGATGAGAGAGGTGGGGGTTAGGAGTGTAGGTTAGGGGTAAGGATTAGAGAGTGAGGTGTAGAGTGTGTTCTAGGGTGATCAGTACAAGACTGGGAATGTTATGGGGTTGTTGGTATGTGGATGGGGGGGTGTTGGGTGTGGGCTAAAATTTAGGAAGAATATTAGGGTAAGGGTGGTGGCAGGGTTGAGTCAGGTTTTGGGTGAGGCAGTTGGGAGTGGTGTGGACAGCATGAGGCCATATTTCCACTCCCATGCTTCATTCAATATATCCTCTGTCCCTGCTTCAGGATCTCTCATTACTTCCCCTTACCAGAACCCTGTCCTCACATTCCTTGGTGATGAGGAGATGAACTTCTGTGAATCTGGAGGCCCCTCCCCTAGGCGAGGCCATGCCATGGATCCCAGGAGGCCATTTATTTACTGCCTCCCCCACCCTCAAACAGGGACCAGGGCACTTTCTCTGGCTACAAAGACCTTGGTCAGGGAGGCTGCCTGTGGGGCACTGCTCCCTGCCTTTGAGCCTGGGTGACAACAGGGGCCACTGGCCAACTTAGGGCTTATGCCCTATGTCCAGTACCCTGAGCTACTTGTTCTCAGCACCCCTCATACCCAGCTTCAGCTGAGGAGTCCTGCTTGGCAGGAAAGCTGTGGCAGGTGGGAGGAGAGAGGAAGGCAGTGAGGCAGAAACAGCTGCCAGCATGAGTGGAGGAAGAGCAGGGCCTCAGCGGGTACGGGCAGACGGCAAGGCTCTGGCTCTGGCATAATGCAGAACCCCCCCTCCAGTGTGTGGGTGTTGGGCCCAACCTTCCCCAACCCTCCCCAACCAATGCTGCTGTTCAGGGAGCAGGCTGTTTACAGGACTAAACTCTGGGCTGAAATAGACCACAAGGGCCACTTGGTTCAACTCGTCCCTTCATCTGGTGTTAGAGTCACCTCTACAGCATTTCTCCCAGGGATCCATTCATATCAGTCCAGTCATTTTCTGGGAATAGGAGCACACATTCTCCTAAGGCAGTTTGTTCTCTCTTTGGAAGAGGGGACAGGAAATAACTGTTAACTGAGCAACTCTGATGTACCAGACCTAGGTACTGTGCAGACATCTCATTAATAATGACCTCAAAGAGATGTTATAATGAATTAGCCCCATTTTATAGATCAGAAAAATGAGGCTCAGAGAGTTGTGTCCCTAGCTCAAGGTCACAAAGGTAATAAATAATAGACCTGTCTGACTCTGAAGTCCCTCTGGGGCCAAGCAGGACAAGCCTCTTCTTTTGCAACATGACAACTCTTTTGAGGTCTGAATTCAGAGACCACATCTTCCCAAGTCTCCTCTTCTTCATATAAAACAGCCCCTGCTCCTTAAACTATCTCTCCTGTGAAGTGGGTTCCAGCCTCCTCCTCAATCTTGTCAGGAGCACGAACCCAGGGGTTGGGAGAGGCCAGGGTGGGGATGGGCCTAAGTTAGCATTGCCCTGCTGTGTGAGAGGAAGTCAGTCGCACATTAAGGAAATGTTGCAGCTGGTACTAAATTGGGAGGTGTCACAGGCAGCAGTGAAGACAGGTATGATTCGTGGGGCCCTGTGTGGCCCAAAACAGGGCAGACATTGCAAAGGAAGAGGACTTCTGGGGCTGCCCAGGAAAGATGTGACTGAGGCACTCAGGACAGGTCCCCGGGAAGAAGGGGTCATCTGGCCCTAGAGCAGAGGTGCTGGGCTAGGTTTCCAGAAGTAAAGGAAGCCTCCTCATCCTGGCCTATGGCTGTGAACTCTCCACCCAGTAGAATCTCTGAGGATGGGCTTCATCTCAAAGGATCCCACTTGGGGCAGAGGCTGGACAGGAGAGCTTGGAGCCCAGAGGCAGGCTCAGGGGTGGAGGAAGAAGGCAACAAGGCCTGGGAATGAGGTGAGTGAGGTGAGGGGCTGAAAAGAGAAGGGGTTGCAGGACAGAAAAGAGCAGGACTGTCTTCTCCCGTAGTGGCCTGTAATATAGCTGGATTTGAGAGCCCTGTGGGTCTGCGCCTCAGTTGAGGGAGAGAGCACGGGAAGAGGAGTGGGAAAACCAGGAAGAGAGCTGTGGAGCTGGTACTGCCCTTCTCCTGGCACAGCAGACAGCAAGAGAGCATGAGGAGTTCTCTTGAGAGAGACTAGGAGACAAAGGAGAGGAGGGAGGGCCCTGGCCATTGAGAACTTGATGTGAGGCCATGGCAAAAGCATGAGCTTAGCACCAGAACACATGCATTTGAGTTCTGGCATTACTGCTCATGAGCTGAATGACCTTGGCACATATTGCCTGACCCCTCCTGCACATCAGTTTCCTCATCTGTAAAATGGGGGTAATAGTGCTGTCGGGGCAGTTGTGATCTCAAAATGTATATGAAAGGGGTTGAAACCCATAGAACATTTCATCAATGTCAGGTGTTATTTTATTATTACAAGATACTATCAACTATCTCTTCTTATTTGAATCTCACAAGACCCAGGTTGTGGGGAGAGCAAGTATGATTATCCCTGTTTTACAAATGAAGAAACAAAAGCAGAGAAGTGAAGTGACTTGCCCAAGGTCACACTGCTAACAAGTAGCAGAGGTGAAAAGGAATCCTGACTCCGAGAGATCTGTTGTCTTACTCCTACATCAAACTGCTTAATAAAAACAATCAATGTGAAGGATTATTATTTAGTGCGGGATCAGAGCTTGGAGCTGAATATAGCGTGAAGCACACCCTATGGGAAAGTTGTGGTGTGATCTCTCATTCATCTAGGTGATTGAGAGAAAAATCAGTCAGGACCATGGAGTCGGAGGGAGGGTCATGAAAGACAGGCATCCTTTGTTCCATTTGCTAGTGGACTATGTCTCTGTGCTCTTACTGGGTAAATATGTCTGGGACTGACATCGAGAGTGTGTACCTCTCTCTCTATATGACAAAATTGTGTCTTTCTTCGTGTAACAGTACTTCTGTCTGCGTGTCTGTGACACCATGAAGAGGTGTACATGTTTGTGACATAGTGTCTGCCTTTATGGCACTGTGGGTGTGATGACCTCTTTGTATCTCTGTGTGACTTTGCCCGGGGGGTGGTGGTGGTGTATGGCAATGTGTGTGTCTGTTTGTACACCTTTAAGAAATGGAATATCTCATTTGGTAGTGTGAGTGAGGCAGTGAGTCAGCTGAGGCTGAGGGAGGCGGGAGGGAGACTGCTAGGTTACGAGAACAGGAAAAGGAGAAGGGAAAAGTGAAGTCAGGAGCAAGGAGCTACCGCTTTCCTCCCAATCCCCTGCCCCAAATCCCTAGAAGCTCACCAAGAGCATGGAGGCCCTACAGAAGCCCACAGGGGTTGTGCTGGATAGGAAGGGGTATTTTCTGCCCCTCCCCAAAGCTTTGGATGGAGATGAGCTAGGCTTGGAGGCAACTGTCTCCCTCTCCAATTCTCAGCCCCCAGCTCGAGGACATATAAAGCCACTGCTCCACCTGGTCTCCTTGTCACTTGACCCTTTGACCTTGATGTTCCCTTTCTTGCCAAAGGCAGGCCACATGGCCTGCCTGGGCAAAAAGGGCAGTAGCAAGCACCACATCCCACATTACCCCAGCCCCCATCCACCTACTGTCCAGAATGACCCTGCTGAGGGTCAGGAAGTTTCTCAACACTCAGCTCTGCCCCAGGCAGGCCGTTCTGCAGCTGCCTCTCCTTTCTTCTGGATGCCTGTCCCCAGCAGCCAGAAAGCCAGCTTTTCCTCCAGTGCCACCCCAGGGCACTGGGAAGGCACTGGGGAGGGAGATTTGTAATGTACGCTTTAATGGCCCTCCCACAGGCCACTGTGCCCTGTCCCCAGCTTCTTTTGTCAGGGGAGAGGAGCCAGCAGGTTCCCTCCTTGGGAAGAGACAGGCACTCCTGGACTCTGCCTGCCTGGGCTCTGGCCAATAAATCTCAGGTCGTATAAGGTCAACACTGTAAAGTTCCCCACCAGCAGGAACGTCCCTCTTCTCACCCCTCACTGGCAGGAGCCAAGGCAGTGAGTGTTAGACTGCCAAGTATTCTCTCCCCTATTGGCCTTCCCTCTGCACCAGCCAGTCCCTTGGCCCCTACAGGGCTCTCAATTCCAGCCCAGAAAAGGATGGGGGCACAACTGGCTGAGAATGGAGGCTGAAGGAACACAATCTTTCTTTCCACCTCTCTGCCAGCCCTGGGCCCCATGACCCCTGCCTCCTCACATGCGGGGGCAGGGCTCCAGGAAGCCCCAGCTCTAAGGTGCCCAAACCCGGAATTAATAGAAGTTGGTCAGGTGGTTACCTGACCTGAATCCCTGAGGCCCCTTCTCTGGGGAGGGTCCCAGGGTGGCACTCGTAGAGCTGCACTGAGAATCGCGGGGGTGGGGGGATGGGCTGGCAGGGAGAGAAGCTACCTTTTTTCTCCCAGTCCCACTGTCAGTGCTGCCACCGCCGAGGCAGTCGCTCTGGTCGCGGACGCCAGTTCTTACCTTACAACCTTTCGTGCAGGACCGAATTGAGTACTCTTCTGCTTGTAAGTATTTATGCAGCACGAGGTCGAACTCGTCATATTTTTCCTGAGCATGTCGGTCCAGCCGCTGGTACGCCTCGATACAGTTGCTACACGCCTCCCAGGCCCCGGAGCCCGGACTGGCCACCACGGCCAGCAGGTCTCCCAGCAGGGTGTCCAGGCTGCAGTCCAGGCTGTCAGGGCGGTCCATGCCCAGCAGCAAGTCCCAGACAGTGTAGGTGTCGCAAAAGGAGAGAGTGAAGTTCCGAAAGTGGCCTTTGAGCAAGTTTTTTTGGGCGGAGGGGAACTCGGCCGGGGCACGGGAAGGAGAGTCGGGGGGCCGCAGAGGAGGGGCTGGGGTAGTCGGTTCGAAAAGTCTCTGCAAATATTGCAATTTGGCGCAAGCTGCGTCCAGCCCCATGGGCTCGGAGACGCCGCCGCAGTCCGGCCCGCGGCCGGCGGCGGGGGCGGCTTTGGTCAGGTTGCTGTATCGGGGGCCGCAGGTACCCAGGGGCGCGCTGGGTTCGCCAGGCGGCGGCGGCGGCAAAGGCAGCACAGCGCTAGGAGGCACCGGCTCCCGCTCACCGCTGGCCCCCCAGGGCGGCCGCATGGCGCTGCTCAGCTCCCCGGCCCGGGGCCGGGCCCCCGCACACAGCCACAAATGGTCAGCGAGCAGCACGATGAAGAAGAGCAGGGACGCTAGGGACAGTCGCCATCGCTGCGCCCGTTCGGAGTCGGCGCAAGGTTTGTCGCTCGGCCTGGGAGCCCAGCAGCAGCAGCAGCAGCAGATAGTCAGCGCGGCGGCGTCTTTCCCGGGCCACATCCAAGCGCCCCTGAACATATTTCAGGGGGATCCGAGCTGGAGGGGCAGGCAGGCGCGAGGCCGGACGGTCGTCTCGGGCGGGCGGAATGCGCGCCGCTCCGCGCTCCTCGGCGCCGTCCAGGCTCTACCTCGGGGGCCGCATGGTGAGGCAGGCCGGCCCGCCCGCGGTCCCGCTCAGGCCGGAGTCGCGGGGCGCCCTCGTCCGGTCCCCGCGCCCCTCCTGCGCTCCCTCGCTTGCAGCCCGGGCGCTGCCGCCCCGCCCGCTAGGCGCTGCCCGGCGTCCCAGCGGGGGGCGGTGCGCGGCACTGGGGCGGTGGCGGCTGCGGTGCAGCACTCCTCATAGTGTCGGGCCCCTCAGCTCCTCTCGGCTACTCGCCACTCCACTCCGCACCGGCGGCTGCCGGGCTTGCACTCTGCTCCGGCCGTCTCGGCTCGGCGCAGCTCTGCGCCCCCTCAGCGCCGCCGTGCGGGCCGGGCCTCCGCACTCCGCTCCGCTCGCTCGCTTCGCGCCGCTCCTCTCCAGCCAGTCCGCCCGCCTGCTGCGCGCTTCGCGTTGCTCCCTGCCTGTCTCCCGCCCTCCTAGGCCCGTCGGCCGGTCCGCTGCCCAGCCCCTAGGGCTTCGCTCGCGCTCCGGCCGTGCGTGGGGCCAGTCCTGGGCAGGCTCAGCTCCCTCGCGGCGCCGGCTGCTCCCGGAGTTCCGGCTCAGGGGGGCCACCTGGCTCCCGGCGGCGCCACAGGCGCCGGACGCGGACGCGGGGCTTTACTTAGTGCACCTCTGGCTTCCGCTTCTCTTTCACACCGCTGTGACGGCCGCCGAGCGGCACGGCCCGGTGGCTCCCGCTGGCCATGCCCCCTCAGTCTGTCGCCATCTTCCGCTGTGCGGAGAACACCTTGAGAGCCCGTGTGCGAGTGTATTTGGGGGGGAGCGGGGCGGAGAAAGAGGCGCCGAGAGGAGGAGGGAGCGGGACTGGGGCCCCAACTGCGCCTGCGCCTCAGGACTACCCCCACCCCGCCCCCCGCAGCAGCCTGTGCTGTTTGGGGATGTTTTCGGTCCACCCCCAACTCCATTCACTTCAGCGCCTCCGTTCATCCGCCCGCTCCCCGCGTGCACACGCCACACGCTGAGTTCCAGGCCCCTGCGCTCCTCCTCCCCCGCCAGCCCAGGCGCCAGCCTTCCTCCAGAGGACGGCCCCTCACTCCTGCCAAGGGCTAGGGGACTTATGAGGATGATTCTAGGAGGCAGGAGGCAGCTCCGAGGCAGCTCCGTAGAATCTCTCTGCCTCCCTGGGTCGCCTCCTTCGTCCCCGTGACTTGGAGACGCTGGAGCCGTCTGCCGACCGGACCAGTCCCGTGTCCCCAACTCCGCTGTCCGTCACTGTCCTGCCCGAGGCTAAGGCGGCTCCTGGTGCTGAAGAACAGCTCCCGCTGAGCTGCGGAAGAGCAGTGAGCGTGGAGAGCGCCCTAGAGGGGGCAAGGCAGGGGGCTAAGATGGGTAGTAGTGGTGTGGTGTTGTTTCTACCCTTAGTAAGATTTCCAGTAGCACCCCCCCCCCTTTCCCGCCGTCCTAGCTTCCTGGCTCCCCCTACAGGCTGCTGAGAATAGCTGAGCGAGAGTTGGGGAAGCTGCACCGCCCGGATGGAACCATGTGCTTGGGGCCCTCACAGAGTCACATGGCAGTAGGAACTCAGACCTACAAACACCCTGCCGCGCCAGTAACCTTGTTTGGACTCCTCCAAATTTGAAACTGGTCTGGTTGTCTACTTCCTTTCTTCATTCCCTTTCACTTCCAGTAACCCCCACATTATAATTTTTAATCAAGCATTGCCAACAAGAATTTGTTAATATTAAGAATAATAACAATAACAGAAAATAGCCTTATTGAGTGCCTAGTACACATGCATCATCTCATTTAATCTTCACAACAATCTCATGAGATAGGTATTACTGTTATCTCTATTTACACATGAGGAAGCTGAGGTTTAGAGTCGTTAAGTTGCCTAAGGTCACACGGCTAGTAACTGGTGGAGCCAGGATAGAAACCCAGGCAGTCTGGCTCTAGAGCTGTCTTAACTCTCCAGTAAAGCCCTAGAGAGATAGAGGGGTAGAAGACATAGTCCTGCCTTACAGGAAATCACAGTCTATATGAGGAAACAAGATATACAGGTTAATAGGAAGAGTTGTGGACTGGGAACTGGGTTCTGGTAATAGTTTTACCATTGAACATGTTGTGAACCCTTGAGAGAGTCCTTTCCCTCTCTGAGTCTTGGTTTTCTCCTGGGTAACATGTGGGGTTGCTGAAGGTTAAATGAGATGGGTAGGAATCACTAACACTACTCAGAGGTGGAGTGGGGGTGGTGCTTGAAAGTTTTCTGGAAAAGGGAGAATTTGAGCTGGTTCCTAAAGAAATGGCATGTTTGAGTGATTGGGGAGGGTATTCCAGGTAAGAATATAGGTGAAAAGTTTCAGGGGTGGAGAGAAGCGTTGCATATTTGTGAAACCTTGAGTGTGACACTTTGGCTGTATTGGTGGTGAGAGTTTGTGGGGAGGCGTGTAGAGGGAAATGAGACAAGGAACAAAACTGTCTGGCATTTTGGGGGTTTATTCATTCATTATGTGCCAAGCACTGTGCCGGGGACTTCGTAGGATACTGAGGTGAAGCAGACATGGCCCCTGCCCTGGAGATGCTCACTGTTGAATTAGGAAGGCAGACACGTTAAAGAAGGAATTGCAACACAGTGCAATAAAGATAAGATTGAAGAGACATCTCCCTCCCAGAGAGGGAGGAAACAATCAACTCTGCCAACTGTCCTCAGAGACAAACACCCACTTTAGTTGGGGTATTCATTTATTTGGCAAACATCTACTGAGGATCTATTGTGTTCCAAGAGCTGTACTAGGCATGAGATATAGACATGAGTAAAATATGTGCCTTGGGCTGAGGGAGTTAGTTGGAGTCTTGAGGGATAAGTAGAAATTGGCTGAACAGATAGTTGAGAAGATGGTGTGTGATAAGGATGTCCCAGACAGACGTAAGGTGAAAAGGTCTAGAAGCAAAGCCAAGCATGGCATATTCAGAAACCTGCAAAATAGTTTATCGTGACTGGGTGTGAAGTGGAAACACTGCCAAAAATGAGGCTGAGGACTCGGCAGGAGCCAAATCATGAAGGGCCCTGGGTGCCATGCTAAGTAGTTTGGACTTTACCCAAGGGCAGTAGGGAGCCACTGAAGGGATTGAAAGGTTTTCAGCAGGAGGTGACATGATCAGATTTGTATTTTTAGAAGATTGTTCTGGCTGCAGGATGGAGACTGAGTTGGAGGGGGTGAGACTGGAGGGAGGGGAGACTGGTTAGAAGACAGGTTAGTAGTTCAGGTGAGAGATGTTGAGGGCTTGAACAAAGACAACAACAGTGGGGGTGGAGAGAAGGGATGCACATGGGAGTGATATAAAAGAGGTGGAATTGAAAGGACCTGGGACTGGCCTAGATGTAAGGAATAAAGTAGAGACAGGACTTAAAGAAGAAGTGTGAAACCAAAGGGTTTGGGTCAGTGATACTGGCATGACTGCCCCTGCACACTTAGCAATTGTCTTTCCAGAGCCATGCTTTGTTTAGTCCTTGAAAGATTCAGTGTTCTATTTTAACAAAGGCTAATTGCTTACAAGATACCTAGTTCAGAGCTAACTAGTAGGGCCACAGTGATTGACACCCTTGAATGCCAGTGAAAGAGCAGCCTGCCAGACCTAGGCTATCAGCTCTGAGCAACTCTGGAGCCTTCTGTGAGAAGTCAGTCAGGCAAGACTCCTTCCCTCTCCCCCAGCACACACAGGGTGAAAAGTGTCTCACAAAGGTCCATTTATCACAGGAGCACAATATAACAATAACTTGCCACACAGTACCTGCTGACCACAAAGAAGAGGTGGTAGCACACCAGCAGTCTGAGGTGGCTCTCAATCTCTCACTCTAGCTGACAAGAAATTGGGATGGTGGAAGGGAAAGCAATGACATCTAATCTGGCTCCAACTAGAGCAGAGTTGCCAAGATGTGGAGGGGGGCTAGGGTAGCTGATGGGCACTGGACAGCCTTCCTCCCAGCCCTTTCTTTCCACCTGCCCCCAGGTCAGCAGAGGATAAAGCAGGAGGATAAATCTGGGTCACTTCTGAGGACCCAGACTGCCCAGGAAGAGAGATAGAGTGCCTTCAGATTGGGTTGGGAGGTGTGGTAGGGTTGGGAAAAGACAATTTGGAGTGGAAGGAAAAGAGGGAGATTTTTCACAGTGAAATTCTGACAATTAGGAAGAAGAAAAAATAGGAGCCATTTAAAGAGACCAATGTGGATACAGAGGGAGCTTTCTGGTAAGCTCAGATTTTAAAAGGTCATGGGCAAACGATGGAAAGAAGGACATGCTGGAGGCGGGGCCAAAATGGTGTAGTCGTCAGACACTTCCGGTGGACCCTCTTACAACGAAGACCTGAAAAAACAAGTGATTTGATTATATATGGCAATCTGGGAGCCCTGAACATCAAAGGAAGAGTTGAGGAGACGGACTGAGTGGCAGGGGGAGGGAGAGACGGTTTGGAAGCAGTGAGGAGTTGCCAGACCTGACCTGGCAAGAGCCTGAGCCCTTCTGGCTGAGCAGTTTGGGGGTGAGTGGTGAGGTGGGCAAGCAGCAGTGCTCGGGAGGCACGTATTCTGCACCAGGAAAGACCCAGTGCCAGAGAGTCTACACAGCCACCCAGAATCGATGAGAAGCAACCCTCGATCCAGCGAAAGATAAGTAATTGCATATGGCCTACCACGCAAATCAAAAACACCCCCCTTAGGGAAAAACCTCTCTCCCATTTACCTCCCCCCAACCTGCTCTGCACTGGGTCCCGGACTGGCTTCAGCAACTGCCAAGTCCCCTGGGCTGGAAGTAGGATCCATCACACACCTGGAGCCATTCTCCCTGCCTTGGAGAGTGAATAGATTAACAAAACAAAAAATAAACTACTGGCTACCCTAAGCCTGGAACCCAGGGTA